CACCTCCCTAGGTAACGCATTCCAGTGTTTCACCACCCTCCTAGTGAAAAAGTTCTTCCTAATATCCAATCTAAACCTCCCCCACTGCAACTTGAGACCATTACTCCTCGTTCTGTCATCTGCTACCATTGAGAACAGTCTAGAGCCATCCTCTTTGGAACCCCCTTTCAGGTAGTTGAAAGCAGCTATCAAATCCCCCCTCATTCTTCTCTTCTGCAGACTAAACAATCCCAGCTCCCTCAGCCTCTCCTCATAAGTCATGTGTTCTAGACCCCTAATCATTTTTGTTGCCCTTCGCTGGACTCTCTCCAATTTATCCACATCCTTCTTGTAGTGTGGGGCCCAAAACTGGACACAGTACTCCAGATGAGGCCTCACCAATGTCGAATAGAGGGGAACGATCACGTCGCTATGCCCCTACTTATACATCCCAAAATGCCATTGGCCTGAACTGAAAGTCCCTGATTTCTGTGCTAACAAGCTCTGTTCTACGCTGTGTTTCTGTTGACTAATAAACCTTCCGTTTTATGCTGGCTGAGAGTCACGTCTGACTGTGGAGTTGGGGTGCAGGACCCTCTGGCTTCCCCAGGAGCTCCACCTGAGTGGACTCGCTGCGGGAAGCGCATGGCGTGGAAGGGGATGCTGAATGCTCCGAGGTCAGCCCCAGGAAGGTGGAAGCTGTGTGAGTTTCTTTCTCTGGTGACAGCATGCTCAGAGAGAAGAGGCTTCCCCAGAGTCCTGGCTGGCTTCTCGCCCCAGTGACTCCGTGACATGTGTGCGCGCGTGTGTATGTGTGTGTGTGTGAGAGAGAGAGAGAGAGAGCGTCCTCTGCGCTTACATCCCTTTGTGTGTGTGAGAGAGAAGGATCCCTCTGCTCTTATTCCCGTGTGTGTGAGAGATAGCCCTCTCTCACTCGTAAACCCATGAGTGCGCATGAGAGATCCCTCTGCACTTATCCCTCTGTAAGTGTGTGTGACAGAGGAGGTGGGGGGAGGGAGAGATCCCTCTGCTCTGATACCCCCTTGTGTGAGATCTCCCTGCACTTATATCTCTGTGTGTGTGTGATATCCCCCTGTGCTAACACCCTGTCCTGTGTGTTATCCCGCTGCTCTGATCCTCGCCTCTCTGTGCGTTTGATCCCCTTGTGCTTATACTCCCATGTGTGTCTGTGTGTGGCTCCCATATGTTAATACCCGTGAGGGTGTGAGTGATAGGCAGAGAGATGCCTCTGGGCTTAGACCCCTGTGTGTAAGTGTGATCCTCCTGCGTAATAGCGGTGCATGTGTGCGAGAGCTTCCTGTGATTATATTTTGTGGGTTTTTGATCCCGTGCACTAGTATCCCTGTGCGCGTGTGTCCGTGTCAGCCACCTGCACTAGTACCCCCATGCATGTGTGATCTTCCTCCACTTGCTCCCCCATTTGTGTATGTATGTGTGATCCCCCTGCACCTTTACACTCCGTGTGTGTGTGATCTTCCGTGCGTGATCCCCATGTCCTTATACCCACTCTCTGTGTTCGTGTGTTCCCCTGCCTTTATATCCTGTGTGAGTATGTGATCTCTCTGCACTTATATCCCTGTGTAGAAGTGTGATCCTCCTGCACCAGTACCCCCCCCAACATGTGTGATTCCCCTGTGCTTACATCCCCAGGTGTATCTGTGTGGAGGTTTGTGTGTGGTCCCCATGTGCTAATACCCCATTGTGTTTGTGCAGGTGTGATCCCCTCCACTAATACCCTCTGTGTGTGTGATTCCCCCTGCTTATATCCCTCTGTGTCTCTGAGTGATACTCATACGTGAATACCACGTGTGTGTGTGTTGGATTCCCAACACTAATGCCTCTGTGTGTTTGTGTGTAGGAGATCCCCCTGTGCTAATGCTCCGTTGTATGTGTGAGAAAGAGAGCGGGAGAGAGACCACCAAGGTTTCCCTCCTGTGTGTGTGTGTGAGTTCCCCCTGTGCTAATACACCACTTTGTGTATATCCCCCTGTGTGTGTGTGATTCCCCCTCTACTTATACACTCACTCCCACAAAGAGAGGAGTGGGTGTGCGTACGGGTGATGGTTATATTTCCCTCTGTGCATGTGATCTCCCTGCACTTATATCTCCCAGGGGTGTGTGTGTGTGTGTTCCACCTCTGCTTACATCCCTGAGGGTGTGTATGAGACAGCTATGCCCCTGTACTTATTCCCCACCATTTGTATGTGTGTGATCCCATTGGGTTTCACTTCCGTGTGTGTGTGTGTGTTTGTGATCTCCCTGTGTTTATACCTAGGGTCCTACCAAATTCAGGGTCTAATATGGTCAATTTCATGGTCACAGGATTTAAAAAATCATAAATTTCATGATTTCAGCTATTTAAATCTGAAATGTCATGGTGCTGTAATTGTAGGGATCCTGACCCAAAAGGGAGTTGTGGGGGGAGGGCCTCGAAGCCAATGGGCAGAGGGCACAGGGGTAGACAGGGTACAGTGATCCCCCGGATCTGCCAAAGAATGTCTTGGGTGGGCTCTGTGTCACACTGGTCATCACAACCCTTGTCAGATGTGGTGATGGGCAGTATGTGAGGTGCTCTGTCCATCTACTGAGCAGTCGGGTCTCTCGCTCAGTCAAGCAAGGCAGGTCGCTGAGAGGAGAACCACAGCCCCACCAGGCAGCAGGGAGAGACACTTGTCTCACGCTGGCTGGTCATGTGCAGACTGACTATTGTCCGGTGCACAATGGTGTCCGTTGACAGTCTGAGCAAAATGCTAATCAATAGATTGCAGGGCCGCAGGACAGAACAAACCCAGCTGGGTTCTCCCGCTCAGGAGTCAGACAATGAACTTTTGAAACTAGATCTGGGGCACCGAGGAACCCTGGGGAGCCCTTCAGTCTTTGAGGAAAAGCTGGGCTTGATCTCACGAGAAACTGGTGGAAAACGCCAGGAGAGGACCCCTGAGCAGACTGGGGGCTGCCTTGTCAGTTCTCTTGTGGTGCTAGCAGGCCTGTTATTTTATCCCTTTGTTTCCAACAGTCTCACTGTCTGTCCCTCCAATCCCTGTTCTCAGGTGAGCCAGTCGTTGTTTGCCCTGTATCTGTCTCAGGGCTGTGTGCTCAGCCTGTGCTGAGCCTTGCCAGCCAGTGTGTGCTTGGCCTTGGGAGCAGCGGATCTGCGCGCTCTGGGAGCATTCTGGGGATCGGGGCTGGGATTGGCACAGGGATGCTGCACCTGCTGCTACCTAGACAGGGGGAGTGAGGCCTGGGGTGGCCTGGAAGGCTGTGCATGGGGTGCCAGAGGCTGATGGAGTCAGAGAGCCGAGCAGGCCCAGCCAGGCTCCCTCATGGTGAGGACAGGTGGGTGCGAGGTGCCTCAGAACCCTGGGTACACCCGGGGAATGCGTCACTGAGTGTGTGTGACCCCTTTGCCCTTATAGCTGGCGTGCGTGTGTGTGATCCGCCTGTGCTTATGTCACAAGCGTGTGATCTCAGCGCATTCATACCCCCTTGTGTGTATGATCCCCCGTGCTAACACCCACACTTGTGTGTAGACCCTCTGTGTGTGTGTGTGTGTGTGTGTGTGAGAGAAAGGAGACCCCCGCCGATACCCCCAGGTGCGTGTCTGTGTGTAATCTCTCTGATCTTATCCCCCCGTATGCATGTGTTTGTATTTGATCTCCTTGCGCTAATACCCCATCATCCCATATGTGTTATTCTCAGTGCACTGATACGTTGTGTGAGATCCTACTACATCAGTCCCTCCGGGGCACCTGGCGTTGGCCACTGTTGGCAGACTGGATACTGGGCTGGATGGACCATTGGTCTGACCCAATGTGGCCGTTCTTATGTTCTTAATACCCATGTGTGTGTGGGGTCCCCATGCGCTACTACCCCTGTTTGTGTGGCTGTGTATTATTCCCCCTCACCACGTGTGATACCCCGTGACTGAGATCCCCCTGCATGAACACCCTGTCCATGTACCACAGGTGTGTGCGCGCGTGTGGGAGAGCTCCCTGCACTGATACCCCCTGCGTGTGTGGCCCCTGTGCGTGTACCTTACGTGTGTGTGGGTGTGTGTGAGAGAGCCCATCGCACTGATACCCCCTGCGTGTGTGGCCCCTGTGCGTGTACCTTACGTGTGTGTGGGTGCGTGTGAGACAGCCCACTGCACTGATACCCCCCATGTGTGTGTGCCCCCGGGCGTGTAGCTCGTGTGTGTGTGCGTGTGTGAGGGAGCCCACTGCACTGATACCCCCCCATGTGTGTGCCCCCCAGTCCTTTCCCAAGTTGCCTTGTGTGCCCTCTGCCCTGTGTGTCCATCTCCCTGCTGTCCTGCGGGTTCCTGCAGTTCCATCCCTGTTCATCCGGTGCCAGTCCAGGATCCCCATGCCCCTGGCTCGCCGGGCACATCCAGCACTATCCGTCTCCTCCTGGGCACAGGCCCCATTTACTGCCTGTGCCACCCGGCCGGGGGGGGGGGGCTTTTGGGTGGGGTCTGAGTTTGGCTCTTCCCCCCCCCTCCTGGTAGAGGGGAGCGGGTGGTCTGGCGGCAGTGGGGGTTTCGGGCGCTGAAGGGGTCTGGTCGTGCCTTGCCCGCGCAGGGTGGGGGGGGTTGGGAGTGGGGGCCCCCCCCCCCTTCTCGCCCCCCGGCGGCCCTTCTGGGGTCCCGGAGGGAGTGCCCTGTGGGTGTGGGGGGGGCGGCTGCCAGGGGGGGGGGGGGGGGGGGGAAAGTAGGGGTATTGTTTTTTTTGGAATTGTAAAAGGGGGATTAGACCCACCCGCACGTCCCTGGTGAGAGTCCCCTTCCTCTCCCCCCCGCCCCCCTACTTCCTCCCCCATCCCCCACTGCAGTGCACAACGGGTCCCTGGGGCACCCCGAAACGGACACAGACCACCAGGAAACCAGCCAGGCCTTTATTGGGGTGCTGGGGTTGTACAGAGTGGGCAGGGCAGGTGCTGCAGGGTGCAGGTGCTATCACAGCCGTCAGGCATGTCGGCTCCTCCCCCCGCCACGGGGGCGCTCACTTCTGCAAAGAAGAAGAGATGGCGTTGGGTGCGGGGAGCGAGGACGGACCCTGGTCAGCCCCCCCCCACCTCGCCCAAACTCTCCTGCACACACGCGCATGAAGCTTCTTCCCAGAGGCAGGGGTTGGATTGGCACTCAGCCCCTTCCCCCACTGTGTGTATTCCCCCTCTGCCATCTGCCCCCACTGGAGTGTGCGCACATGTGTGATGTGGGCCCCCCCATGTACAGGGCACCCTGCCCCCCCAGGTATAATTCATAGATTCTAAGGCCAGAAGGGACACTGTGATCCTGTAGCTTGACCCCAATATTGCACAGGTCCTGGGACTTCCCTGCATTAATTTCTGTTTGAAAAACTTCTCATTTTGATTTTAAAATGGCCAGTGCTGGGGAATCCTGGGAAATTGATCCAGTGGTTCCTTCCTCGCCCTGTTACAAACGTACGCCTTATTTCTAGTCTGACTTTGTCCCCCCCAGGAGTGGGGTGCAGCCTGGCTCTAGCTGCCAGGCTTTCCTGTCAATTTCACGGCAGCATGGAGCTGTGAAACTGACAAGACAGCCAACAGCCCTAAGTAGGGCAGTGTCTGCATGGAGGTAAGCCCTAGGCCTCTCATGGAGGTGGAGTTGTTATGTCAGTGTAGTAGGGTACTTACAGTGGTGGGACAAGGCTGTAGGTGGACACTGAGTTAGGCTGACGTACGCTACCTTACATGACCTGTGTAGTGTAGACCAGGCCTTATAGACAGTGACCAAGTCACCCCTTAACCTTCTCTTTGTGAAGCTAAATGAAGCTCCTTGAGTCTATCACTAAAAGGCAGGTTTCTGATCCATTCAGCATTCTGCTGGCTCTTCTCTGCCCCCTCTCCAGTTTATCAACATCCTTCCGTTGTGGGCACCAGAGCTGGACACAGGATTCCAGCAGCGGTCGACCAGTGCCAAAGACAGAGATAAAACAACCTCTCTGCTCCTACTCAAGATTCCCCTGTTGATGCATCCCATTAGCTCTTTAGGCCACAGCATCCCACAGGGGGCTCATATTCAGCTGATGATCCAACCCCCCCAACCCCCCAAATCTTTTTCAGAGTCACTGCTTCCCAGGATAGAGCCCACTCTTGTAAATAAGGCCTAGGTGCTTTGTTCCTACATACAGTGATGTGTGTACTCCCCCCATCCCTTCCCTGTCCCCTGTCCTCCTGGGTCTGTGCGCTGCTGCCCCCTGCTGGATGCACGCCCACCTACACTCATGTTTGTGCCACCTTCTGCTGCCCTGCAGAGCACGAGGGTGCCCAGGGTCCAGTGCATGTGGGTCAGGCCTTTTGGGGGCAGCCCCAGTCCATCGTCCCCTGCTGGCACCGGGACTGGAGCGGGTGTGCCCTGGATGCTCTATTGCTGTCGCTGGGGACATCACAGCCGCTGGGCCTTCCCCCCACTTGCTGACTCGCTAGGTGAGAGCTCCCCTCGGTTTCTGCTGCTCCAGGCCAGCTCCCACTCCCCCTCAGCCCCTGCCACAGGGACTGGAGCTGCTCCTGCTGGAGGAGAAGAGCTGAAGCCTCCCTGCTTTGGTCCATCTCGCTGGGCTGCTCCCCTTACAGCCCCTCCTTCCTGCACCCCAAGCTGTTCCCCAGCCCCCAGGAGGTGTTCTTGGCCCTCCTGAGTATGTGAGCATCACCCCCCCAGCAGGGCCAGAGAGCTTGGCTAGCACCCCTACTTCCACTGTGTGCGTTGCCCACCAGTGACCCCAGTTCCTGGTGGCCTCATGGCCTAAGCCTGGACACGGCGCCAGCTCGTGCATCCCAGAGAAGCCTCATGTGGATACATGGCACAGACAGGCACAGTCAGCAACCCCCTGCCCCCCCAAGGCACAGCCAGTGAGGCCCCCCAAACACACTCAGACGAAACTCCAGCCGGGCACATCAGAGAGATAGAGAGAGTTAGTTGTGTTAATTCACATCCAGACGAGGACAAGTGATGTTTGGCATGGGGGAAGACACAGATATTAGTCACAAGCCAGACACAGGGCCGGTAGAGAAGCCATAGCAAGACAGAGACCGGGAGGGATGGCAGAGGACCCCAGGGGGGATCCCAGCCACAGATACCGCTCTGCTGTGTGCTTAGGGGAATTGCCAGCTGGCCAAGGGGGTGTATCCCTGATTGGGGTTCCCTGCCCCACTGATGCCATGTTTGGATTGCCAGACTCACCCTGGGCTGCTACAGCCTGGGCCCCTCACTCAGCTCTGACCAGGCAAGTGAAACTGGTGCAGAGGGTTTAGGAGTGGAAAGTGTGTGGTACTGAGGAGCAGGACTCCTGGGTTCTATCCTCAGCCCTGGGAAGGGAGTGGGGTCCAGTGGAAGCAACGGGGAGCTAGGGCTCCTGGGTTCTATCCCCGGTTCTGCAAGGGAATGTCTGTCCCCCCAGGGATCTTGATGGCCTGCGGCTGCTGAGGCATTTCATTGCAGCCAGACACCACCAGAGGGTGCCAGGGCTGGACTGAAATGCCCCATCCCCCAGGCGAAGGGCCCTGTGCGCCCTATGCTGGCTCTAGGTGTTATGTCTGGGGCAGCACCAACCTTCTTTGTCCCCCCGGCCCTAGACCAGCCCTGAGCTGCCGGCTCCCTCTGACTGAGCCAGCTGGGACGCCACACAGACGCTTTCGGTGGTCTGCTAGTGGCTGCCTAGGTCACCTGGGTTGGGTTCTGATAGGGTGAGTGAAGGCGGGGGGGGGGGGGGGGGCACCGACATGGCTGAAGGGGGAGCGAGTTGGCATGGGGTGGTGGTGGCCACCAGCCACTTTCCCCTGGCGCTGGGGCCCTGAGCCCGACACCCAGTGGAGCCGATGGGCACTGCGCACTGGCTTCCCTCTGGGCGGGCTTTGGATCAGGACTCAGCGCCAGGTGCTGTCAGCCACTGCGTTGCTGAATCGGGGCGGAGGAGAGCCCCCTATCAGGGCGAGGAGCCCTGGTGCTGGGGGCTGCGCAGGTGGGAGGGGGCCAGGACAGGTGACGGGCGCTCAGTGTGGGGGATTTGGGCTCTGCTCACCCCTCTAGCTCCCTCAGCTCGGGAGGGCTCCCGGCACTGGCGGGCAGCAGAGCCTGGTTCTCTTGCTTGTCTGGGCCACACCTGGCACATCCTGACTCCACGTGGCCTGGCCCAGGGGCTAGCCCCCCGGGGCGCAGGGGGGATGGGAGGGCCTTAGCCGTGAGTGGTGAAGGCACACTTCAGTTCTGTGGGGCCTCCCACAAGGGGCTGCTCCCACCTTGCCCTGCACTCCGTCACTGCCCTCTTTCGTCACACGATGTTCTGACGCAAACACTGCCCCCTCCTGGATGCCCTCAGGACTACACGTGCGATACGTCACCCCCTAGGGGCGTTCCCAGCTCTGCCACATCCAATGGCTTTGCTCCCTTTGCCTAGGCAATGCCCTGATTCCTCCCTCCATGCTGCCCTGCCCATGGCTTAGCTGGCTGGGCGCACAGCTCCAGTGCCTAGCCATGGTGCCCCCCATCCCCACGCGGCCGCCCTGCTCTCACCTTGCTGGGGGCGTTGCGGTCAGTGTTCTGGAAGCCTGGGAGGTAGTTGAAGCTGACGCGCTGGTCGTCCATCCGCCGGCTCTGTGTGTGCGCCAGCATATCCAGGAAACTGTCCATCTCCGGCGGGGGGCTCGGGCTGTCCTCTGTGGAGGGGCAGACACAGGTGTGAGGGAAAGGCCAGGCAGCTCCCAGAGGGGGCCATGATGCTGGGCCTATTTCCCTCCCCTTCAGGATATGGCCATGGGGCCCTCCAACACTGCATCCCACCTCCCACCACAACAGCTCCGACCATGCCTCTCCAGTCCCCCAGTCCCACCCCTACACTTACAGAGGGAGCTGTAAACCTCACAGAATGCACCTGACCACTTGTGTGATGGTGCCCACGGGCCTGGCAGTTCCTGCAGCGGGTGGCATGCCCAGCCCCAGCTTGGCAGAACCACACAGGGCTGTCATTGGGGCTAAAGTTTCCAAGCCCCATTTTCAACCCAGCCCCAGTGCTGGACTCCTCAGTTTCCTGGAGCAGAGAGTTCCACAGGCCGCCCCCGCCCCTTCAGGGACCCATGTTGTCCTAGAGATGAGCAGTCCTTGCTGAGCCCATTCCCACCCCATGCCCTGGGGCAGGACTGTGGCCAGCCAAGTCTGCTGCTGGGCGAGTGGGCAGGCATAGGGACGGATGCTGTGACCTCTGGTTCTAAACCCAAGAGCCGTCAGACCCCCCTGCCTCCCCCCCACACCAGGACTCACGCTTCTCCGGGTCAGCACCGCTCTTGCCATGTACGATCTGGATGGTGCAGCGCTGCTTGTCCATGCGCCCGCCCTGCACGTGGGTCAGCAGGTTGAAGAAGCCTTCCTGCTCTGGGGAGCCCGACTGTGAGGGGAGAGGAGGGGGCGGGTGAGATGGGGTGTGGGGGAGAGATGCCCCCCAGTGACACACTGCCCCCAGCCTTCCTGCTGTGAGACCCTCCCCCTGGACACAGGCAGCCCCCCGAATGTCTCCTGTACAGCACCCCCTGGAGCCCCAGGCCCCAACATTCAGCCGGTCTGCAGAGCTCAGGCACCGTCACCACCACTAGGGGGCGTTCACAGGCCCACAAGGGACTCCAGCAGGGACCTACCCCACAGCCTGAGATGGAGGCTCAGCCCCATCCCAGCAGCAGCTCCCCCACCCCAGCAAGGATACAACCCCTGTAAGGCTTCAGACCCTCCCCAGGCCACCCCCCACCAGGGCCTCATCCTCCAACCTCCCCCCCTTGCCTGGACCAAGGCCCCTCCAAACAACAGTCTGAACCTAAAGCCATCAGAGCAATCTGCGCCACAACCCAGCTGAGAGACCCCCAGCCTGCCCAGTGTTGGGGGGCCACAGCCTTCCAGACCCCATCTAAGAGGCCGGACAGTGGCTGTAGGTAGGGCATACCACATCCCACCCCAGAGCACTGCCTCTGCCCAGCACACCCACACCCCTGTCTCCCAGGGCAAAGCAAACAGGTTCTGTTCCCTTCCCCTGGGCACAGAGCTAAGGCCCCAGCCGGGCACAGCCCCTCCTACCCCCCCCCCCACAACATTTTAGCTAATTTTAGTTAGTTTCTAGGCACTTGGTGGTGTGAATGGGCTGCTAATCCAGCCTCTGCCCAGCCAGCCCCCCTGCCCTATGGCACTGTTCACCCTCGGCTGGTGATAAGGGACAGGGCTTCGCACTGAACCGTGGCTTGGGCCCAGCAGGTTACACAGAGCCAGGCGTCTATGGCCATGCCCACGGGCTATTCAAGGGGCTTTGCCCAGGTCCCCGCCTGCTGGGATCAGGGCCCTGCCCCATGCTGGGATTTCTAGGGGACCCTCACTGCAGTGGACCAACAGAGCATCGAGGCCAGAGCAGGAGAGCTCTGTAAAGGGGGTTCCGCCCCCAAATGAAGGGGAAGAGCTTGACTCCAAGTGGGTAGCGCTGGCTGAGGGGACTCTGGGGTGCAAGCAATGGGCACCCAGGATTGGGCAAGGCAGGGAGCAGCTGCCAGGCTCGGTGAGGTGAGGGCAGCCTCCTCCTGCCTGCTTGAATCTTGGCCTCCTTGCCCCCCCAAGGCCAGCTAGTGCGGCTGTTGCTGCCAATGGCCTCCCCCTGGTCCTGCTGCCCACCTCACCCCCTGGCGCTGCAGCCTTTGGCCCACGTCCTCTCTCCACAGCCAGCCCTGCCACCCCTTGTGCTGCCCGTTGCAACATCACTCACTCCATCTGTGCCACCCACCCTCCCCAGCAATCCTGAGTGGTGCTGCAATCCCTTGTTCGCCCCCCCAGGGCTCCCCACTGTGCTGCCCCAACACAAGCCTCTGTCATGTGGGTCCGAGGATGGGGTTACGATCTCCACTAGCTGGTTGGTGCCCAATTCTCCTTGGTCTTCCCTCCCAGGCTCTTCCTCTTTGCTCTGATCACGTCTCGTCAGCCCTGCCTTTGCTCTGCCAATGGCCGCCCCCATTGCATGCCCCTCTGCTGCTTGCTCCCATGCTGCCCCTTGGGCACAGAACCCTCCAGTCATTTACAAAGCCCCCCCCCGCCCAATCCCTCCATGGGTCTGGGCCGCCTCCCAGCTGGCATCAGCCTGCCCAGCCCCATGGAGCCCCTCTGCTAAGGAGCAGGCCCATTCACTGCCTCTCTGCTGGAGAAGCTTCCCAGGGTAAGTTTGCACCCCAGCTGGGGGAGGATAAAATGCCATAGAGGGCCTGCTGCTGCTGCCAGCCGAATGGAGTTGCTCCTTTTGCTCACATGCTTGGAGGGTTTGTGCGGTGGTGTTCACAGGTGTGAGTTCAGAGCTTGCCGGGGAGGGGGAGCTGGTGCAATGATACTTTCAGTGTGCTGCTGAAACAATCGCAAGGCTCCTAAAGCTAATGGGCGTGTGTGTGTGTCTCTGAACCTTTAGGGGACTTGTCCTCCAGCTTCTCTCTCATCATCCGTTGCAGGGGACCCAGGCATTGGTGGCACCCTGGCCCCTCCTGTTCTCTGCCTGGAGCACACAGCAGCTTAGTCTCCTGAGGGCTGAAACGCTTTAGTTGAACTGGAGAGGTTGGGCTCAGGGGGCTGGTGGCCTGTTGTATCCAGGAGGCCAGAGTAGCTGATCTGATCATCCCTTCTGGCCTCAAACTCTGTTAAAGTATCCTGCTGCTTTGGCTTGTTATTGTTCTTGAGCATACACTCTAGGGGGCTATTGGTGTGTAGATGCCACAACGAAACGTTGCATTTGTGTTTGGTGCTCTGCATTTCCCAACACCATCATTCTCTTTGGCAACATAGTCACGGAGCTGGAGACCCCTCAGGGTTTGGTTTGGGTGTTGTTAAGCGGGTGTGCGTTGTAATGCTGGGATTTTAGTTGTCCGGCTGTCCTCACCCACCGCTACAGACTGACGCAGTCCTGGCCAGCCACAGGCACGCAGAACCAGCAGGGAGTTGAAGCAAGACAAATTGAGACACGGAACAAGGCACCATTTGTTAATAGTTTGAGTGAGATTCTCCCAGCACCTGCTCTAGTTCACACAGGAATTAATGCAGGCGAGTCCTAGGGTCTGTGCTATACGGGGGATCAGACTAGATGGTCACAATGGTTCCTTCTGGCCTTGGAATCTAGGGCAATTGGGAGTCACAAGGTTTCTCAGAGGACTCACTGGTGGGTTCTGGTTTCTTTCACAGAATCACAGAATATCAGGGTAGGAAGGGACCTCAGGAGATCATCTAGTCCAACCCCCTGCTCAAAGCAGGACCAATCCCCATTTTTTGCCCCAGATCAACTTAACAGCCCCATCAAGGATTGAACTCACAACCCTGGATTTAGCAGGCCAATGCTCAAACCACTGAGCTATCCCACCCTCCCAGGTTTTGAGCTTTTAGGCTAATTTGCAAGCACTGACAGCTTGAAACTGCCTGTACAATTTTTTGAATGAAAGCGGAGCCTTTGATGGACTCATGGGCCTCCTGGAGCTGGGGATTTCAGAGAAGCACCAAATATCCCGAGACTCGTGACAAAGCCAGGTGAACTGGCGACAGCTGATGGAGGAAAGGACCAAGCAGCATTTGCGGAGGTTTTGCTTTCTTCGTCTCCCTATCTAGCTGGGCCAGAAGGGACCGTATTCATCTTCCTTCTGCGTCCCACAGGCCAGAGAGCCTTGCCCAGTGGTCGCTGCACCATGCCCAGAGCTTCCTCTTGAGCTGGAGCCAATTTTTGCAAATGATACCCAGTCTCCTCCGAGGGAAGGAGAATCTGCCACATCCCTGGGCCAGTTGCTTCCCTGGTTGTTTCCTGGCACCATGGCCAGTTAGTCCTGAATTTGTCTTGCTTCAGCTTCCAGCCATTGAATCCTGTTCTGCCCTTTTCTGCTGGATTGAAGGGCCCTGGGCTGCTGGAAAGCGCCTCTCCCTGGAGGTGCGTATAGCCCGGGGTCTGGTCACCTCCGAGCCATCTCTTGGAGAAATGGAATGGACTGAGCTCCGTTAGTCCCCCGCGCCAGGGCAGGCTTCCCAGACCTTGAATTTCTAGTCTGAGCCCGTGCCAATTCGTTACCCTCCTTCAGGCCAGGTCTACCTTGCAGACCTATATCGGGATAGCTGCATCACTCAGGGGTGTAAAAATCACCGAGCTAAGTCCTGTGTAGCCGCTGCTATGTCGGTGGGAGGGCTTCTCCTGGCCACTCGGGGAGGTGGATTAACTCTGCCGGCGGGAGAGCTCTCTCCAGGTCAGCGTCTTCGTTAAAGCAGTGCCTCAGCGCAGCTGCAGCAGCCTTGCCCTCAGTATCCAGTGATGGTCCCAGTGCTATATACAGAGGTAACCCCCCTACCCCCGCTGCTACTGAGATTCCCCAGACCCTCCACAGCAGGACGGCATTAGCCCTCTTAGCCACAGCTCCTAGTCAGCTGGTTCTCACCAGGACCCCTAAGTCCCTGTCTGCACATCCCTAGCCTTTAATTGTGACTGCATTCCCTGCTCCTAGATGCATGACCTTGCATTTGGCTGTATTAAACGCGCGTCGTTCACAAGCCAAGCTTACCAAGCGACCCAGCGCGCTCAGTATAACTGACTTGCCCTTAGCAGTATCCCCGCTCCGCAGCGTGTGGGTCAGCGACAAACGGTACTAGCCAGGATCTTACATTTTCTTCCAGCTCCCAGAGACAGACATTGACTATCATGGGACTGAGATCACAGCCCCACCACTAGAAACACCAGGCCCCATTTGCAATTACTTGTTGAGAATGATCAGGGATTTTTTAACCCATTTAATAAGGCCTGAACTGATTTTGTACATTACAAATGCAAATAATCCTGCTGTGCTGGCTTGCAGGGGAGAGGTGGTTGTGTAGCCTAGCTGATGGATCTGATCTACAGTAATATGACTGAGCTCTTGTCAGCCATAGCTCTGAAAGCACTTTACAAAGGAGGGCAGCAGCATTATCCCTATTTTACAGATGGGGAAACCGAAGCACAGAGCAGTGGCATGTCTTGCCCAGGGTTACCCAGGAGGCTAGTGGTCAAGTCACTGAGTCCCAGTAAACTGCTCTATCCATTGGACCAAACTGCTCTATCCCAGATTCCCAGATGGACACTGGCCCACCACACGACGGCAGAGTTTGCCATCGGTGGGAAATCTCCAGCCCAGTGATCTATTTGCATATTTCTCAAAACACAAAAACCACAAGGGCCCAGCTCCTTAACGGGACTTAGGCACCTAACTCCCATTGATTTCAATTAGGCACCTAAATCCCTTTGATTTGAATGAAGCATCTAAGTCCCTTTGAGGATCGGGGCCCAGGCGCCTCCTACTGCACCCAGGCAAAGTCAGCGCTCTGTTACAAGCCGTGCCAGCGGTGAAGCTGTCCTGGTGCCCGCCTCACCCTGTC